ATGAAAACTATAAACTTGCATTTCCAAGAACCTCGATGAACACCAAGCAGGACACCACATACACACACGCACACACACACACAGACCAATGCACATCATAATCAAGTTGCTGGAAGAAAATGTTAGGAGCAACCAGAGGGAACAAAATACACATTACATACAGAGAAATAGTGATGAAACGACTACATACATTTTTTTTTTTAATCAAAAAAATGTGCAGGCCAGGAGAAACAACATGTGGAATATACTATAGGATTAACAAACAACTGTCACCCTGGAATCTTATACCTAGCAAACAGTGAAGGTAAAATAAAGACTTTTCAGACAATCAAAAGCTGAGAAAATTTTGTTGCCAAAAAACATGAATTTCAAGAAATGTTAAAGCAAGTTTTTGGGGTAGAAGTAATACAAGACGGAAACAGATGTACAAAGAGGACTGAAGAGCACCACAGATGAAAAGTGTTGGAAATATAAAAGATTTTTATCTTTTTAAAATATATTAAATAGATAATGGAATTTTGAAAACAAAAATAATGACGATACTTATATTTATAACTTATGAAGAAGTAAAATATATGAAAACAATCACATGGAAGGAGTGAATGGAAGGATACTATTTATATATATATAATAGTATAATATTATTTAAAGGGTGGACTGTAATAAGTTAAAGATGCATACTGTAAGAACAATCACTAAATTTATAAAACAAGGAGATATAGCTCATTAGTCTGTATTAGGGTTCTCCAGAGAGACAGAACTAATAGAATATAGATGATGGATGGATGGATAGATAGATAGATGATAGATAGATAGATAGATAGATAGATAGATAGATAGATAGATAGACAGACAGATAGATAGACAGATTAGATATAGATACTTACTAGATAGATAGATATTGATTGATTGATTGATTGATTGATTGATTTAACAATAGGTACTGGCTCACTCAATTATGAAGGCTAGGAAGTCCCTGAATCTGCCATCTGCTAGCTGGAAACCCAGGAAAGCTTAACAATAGTTACTGGCTAACTCAATTATGAAGGCTAGGAAGTCCCTCAATCTGCCATCTGCTAGCTGGAAACCCAGGAAAGCCAGTGGTGTGGTTCAAGGGCATGAGAGCCAGAGAGCTGATGGTATGGATTTCAATCTGAATCTGAAAGCTTGAGAACCAGGACCACCAAGGACAGGAGAAGATTGTTGTCCCAGCTCATGCAGTCATAGGACGATTTCAGCCTTCCTCCACCTTATGTTCTCTTCCTGCCGCTCATGAATTGGATGATGCCCATCCTTACTGGGGTGAACCTCTGCTTTACTCATATGCCAGTCTCTTTTGGTAAAGATCTCACAGTTATACTTAGAAATAATGTTTAACCACCTATCTGGTCATCCCATGGCCCAGTCAAGTTGACACATAAAGTTAAGAAGTAAAATATATGAAAAAGAAGAAACACATGGAATGGGTGAATGGAAGGATATTCTTCTTAAATGGAAATTATATAATATTGTTTGAAGATAGACTGATAGGTTAATGCATAGTGTAAAGTCTAGTGCAACCACTAAATGTATAAAATGAGATATAGCTAGTAATATATAGGTAATATAGCAAAAGTAGAGATAAAATAGAATCATAAAAAATACTCAGTTTCAAGAGAAATCAGGAAGATAGAAAAAAATAGCAGATTGGACAAAAAACTAAGATCCAGGTAATAGATTTAAATCTAACCATATTGCTAATTATATTAAATATAATTATATGATATAAGCGCTCTGAATAAATGACAGAGATTTATTATTCTGGATAAAATAGAATTATCCAACTATATTCTGCCTATAGGAAACTCACTTTAAATTATAAAGACACAGAGAGGTTAAAAGTAATAGGAAAGAATAAGATATATTCAAAGAAAGTTGAGTTTCTATATAAAAAAAGTTGAGTTTCTATATTACTATCAGGTAAAGTAGACCTCAAAAGAAGGAATATTCTTGAGACAAAGATTGACATTTCATAATGATAAAATGGCCAGCCAATTCATCAAGAAGATATTACAACTTAAATGTGTCTGCAAAACTGACAGAGCTGAAATGATAAATAGACAGATTCACAATTATAGTTGGTTATTTTAACATTCCTTTCAGTAACTGATAAAACAAGTAGACAGAATATCAGTAAAGATATAGAAGACTGGGAAAACAATAGCAAATAACTTAAGTGACATAGGACGTTTCACCACCAACAGCAGCGTTTTTTCCCCAGTGCTCATGGAACATTCACTAGGCTAGAGCATGTTCTGGGCCATAAAACAACTCTCAATAAATTTAAAATAAGTAAAATTATATTGACTATGTTTGCCATCTACAACAGAAGTAAATTTGAAATCAGTAAGAGACACATTTATGTAATATACTCTACTTGGGCCTTTATCATTGTTTTTCAGCAATTTGATTAAGATGTGCATTGGTGTGTGTGTGGTTTCCTGCTTAGTGTTCATTGAGCTTCTTGGAAATGTAGATTTATAGTTTTCATCAATCCAAAAAATCAAGTTCCGTGGGGCAGGCAGAAGTGAGACCAGGAGCCGTAATAAAGGAAATGTCTACACTAGAGGTCAGGCTAGAAGGTTAAGGAAGCAGAGGAACAGGTACACAGAAAAAGGGAGCAATTTATAGGGTGGCTTTACGTTCTCTCTGCGTAGTTTTTACTTGCTTCACTAGATCAGTTTCTGTGTCTGAACTTTCTCTATTTCAGAATGAAATAACTCACGTGAAATAACTGGAGAAAGATAAAATTCGACACACCAAAATGTAAGCCAGGGAGTATTACTCAGGAAGCAAAAGCAAAAGAGAACGTTGGTATGAAAGGACAGCTCTCTTTCACAGGATATATTTCTTTGAAGGAGTTTATAAGATTTCTACGCATTTGTCTTAATTGTGTTTGTGTCTTTGTATAAAAAACAGTGATATCTCCCATTGTATAAATGATGATCAGATACACCCTGGCCCAGTGAAACATATGGAAAAAAGCATATTAAGAACACTGTAGTGCGAATATGGAATTTTCATGAATTCTTACTAGATCTACATTACTCTATGACCTACTCTGTAATAGCAAAAATAAAAAAAATAAAATCGAAACAGCCTAAATCTTCAACAACAGGAGAATGGACAAATAAATTGTGGTGTACTCCTAAAATGGAATATTGTGGAATAATTAAAAGTGTAAATTACCTCCACCCGCATTACATTAAAAAAGCTTCCCATAATATTGAACCAAATAAGCAAGTTGCAAAAGAATGAAAAGCATGTGATATGATAGAAAGTTTCAAAATACATAAAATAATATAATATATTTCTTGTTGTATGTATCTTTATCATAATAGTATTTAAATTTTTTTATAATTTTTTTTCAATTATAGTTGACTTTCAATATTATTTTTTATTAGTTTCAGGTATGCAGCATAGTGCTTAGACATTTATATAATGTATGAAGTGATCCCCCCACTTTGTACCCACTTGGCACCATACGTCGTTATTACAATATTATTCTCTATATTTTCTATGCTGTACTTTACATCCCTGTGACTACTTTGTAACTACCAATTTGTACTTCTTAATCCTGTCACCTTTTTCCCCCAGTTCCCGAACACCTCCTCCCATCTGGCAACCATCAGTTTGTACTCTATGAGTCTGTTTCTGTTTTGTTTGTTTATTTTGTTCTTTAGATTCCACATATAAGTGAAATCATATTGGATAAAGAAGTTGTGATACATATATAGACTGGAGTATTACTTAGCCATAAAAAAAAAAAAATGGTATCTTACCATTTGTGACAACATGGATGGACCTAGAGGGTATTATACTAAGTGACATAAATCAGAGAAAGAGAAATATCATAATAGTGTTTTTAAAATACAAGTGGTATTCCCAACACCAATAATGGTCACCTGTTGAGAGAGGGAGGAAAATGATTAAGGAGGTCACACATTACAAATTACATTTGGAATATTGTGGAATAATTAAAAGTGTAAATTACCTCCACATATGGAATATTGTGGAATAATTACAAATTACATTTGTAATGTTTAGTGGATAAATGTGTTCATAATATAATTCTATATATCTTTCTGTCTGG